TTAACTTGGCTTGGCTAAAGTGCTCTATTATTTGATCAAATCAGTATAGATACTGCTGTGAAGATTTTTTCAGATATGATTAACATTTAAATCAGTAGCTTTTGAAAAGCAGATTCCCCTTGACAATGTGGGCGGGCCTGGCCCAGGGTACTGAAGCCTTACAGGAAAAGAATGGGATCCTCCAAGAAGGAAGGAATTACGCCTTTGGGATCCAGGCAGCAACATCAGCTCTTTCCTGGCTTTCCCAGCCTGCCAGCCTACCCTGCAGATTTGAGACTTACCAGCCCACAGGAAGCAATTTCAGTCTCTCTGGCTCTGTATCTATCTCTTTGCCCCCTCCTCAATGGCCCCCAGCTCCAGGATGGATCCAGGAAACCATGCTTTTTTTTGTGTGTGTGTGGCTATAGATTTGCCTATTTTAGACACTGCATACAAAGGAACTTGTACAACACGTGATCCTTTCTGTCTGGCTCCTTTCTCTCAGCATCATGGTGTTAGCTTTCATTCATTTTGTAGCACCAGCCAGTACTTTTTCCTTTTTGATTACCAAATAATATTTCACTATGGGGACATGACACGTTTGTCTTATACATTCATTAGCTGATATATATATATAGGTGTTTCCACTTTGGGGCTGTTACCAATAATGCTACTATATATGAATTTTATAAATTAAGTCATAGCTTATTTATTCTTTAGTGACTAACATTTTCAATTGTAGGGTTTCTTTTTTTTTTTTTTTTGAGATCCATTCAAGTTGTTGATTGAAGATATATATTCATTTTTAATAATTTCTTCTATAAAACTACATCCCATCTGTTCAAGTTATTTCGCAACCATTAATGGCTACTAGATGTTCACAGAAAATGTTGCTCTAGGATATGTAGCTGCGAATAGAATTTGTCATACCTGTGTGCTCTTTCCTTTGCTCTGCTTTTCAACCAGCTCCTGGTGTTTGTTGCTAATCTGAAGGACGCATTATGATGTTATGCTTCAGTTTGCATTTTCTTACTCAATGCATGCGCATGAATTAATGTTCACTGTTTCTTTATGTCTTTTTCCCCCGCGTGCAGTGTTTCATTTTGTTTCCTAACTGATTCATAAAAGTTCAGTATGTATTCTTTCAATTACATGTTCAGATTCCTTCTCCAGGTCTTTCCCAAAACCTCACTTTCTTTGTGCCAGAAATTCTTAATCAAAATTTAGTTAAATTTGTCAAACTGTTCCCATACAGTTTATGCTCTTTTTACTTTAAGAAATACATCTCTATTTTGAGAACATAGTATATTCTTTTATGTTTTCTCCTAGAATTTCTTTCTTTTCTTTTTTTTTGAGATCCATTCAAGTTGTTGATTGAAGATATATATTAATTTTTAATAATTCCTTCTATAAAACTACATCCCATCTGTTCAAGTTATTTCACAACCATTAATGGATACTAGATGTTCATAGAAAATGTTGCTCTAGGATATGTAGCTGCGAATAGAGTACCAGGGATTGAACTCAGGACCTTGTACTTGCCAGGCCAGTGCTTAAGCCACTGAGCTGTATCCCCGGCTCTCCTAGAAATTTAAAAGTATTTGCCTCTGTAACCATTTGTTGACTCATTCCACATCAGTAATTTTACCTCTGTTCATCCTTGCATGGACATATTCCTTGGCTGCCTTCTTTGTTTTACTGACTTTTTAAAACCTATCCCTGTACTAATATTGCACACTCTTAATTTAAGACCTTTATGATACATTCTGGACCTAGTGTGAATTGCTGAATTATTATGGTGGTCATCTAACATGGCTGAAACCCTTAAAACAACAGCTTATCTTCCCAGAAACCACTTCCTCCTTCTTCCACAACCCAGTCCCTTTCCCTCACACACAGAGAAGACCGCATCAGCTCCTTACATGTGACTGAAACTGCCCCTCAACCTCCACCCTTAGGAAAAGTCCACAGAAGTCTCAGTTTTCTTTGTCTCAGGTCAGAGAACTCCCATATTGCCTGGGGTTCCCTCCATGTTGCTTAGCATCAATAAGGGCCTCTTTTATCTTTCCTATCTCTTTAGTGCACTGCTGAAAAATCTAACATTTCGGTGTTGTGACTGGGATTGGTGAGTCATGTAGCTCCCAGGGCATCTCCTGCCCCAGTTTTGAGCTCCCTCACCTAGCTGCTTTCTGCTTCTGCCTCTGACGCCAGCCAATCCCAATCCTCACTGGTAAGCCCAAACTTGTCTCTATAGGAGGTTGTTTTTCCTCCCCATCTTGAAAATTGTGAGCTCATTTCAGGACCCTTCTTCAACATCCATCTGGACCTCACCCTGTTTTCATGAGGACCATCACTTAGGGTTTTTTTCTCTCACACTCACTTTGGGTTAGAAAATGATGACCTTCTATTGGGTCACACAGGGCTTTCCCTAATCTTTGGCTCACTCTAATTCAGTCACCATAGGAAAGAGTCCTTCCCACCCTCCAAAACACACCCTGCTGGCTTTTCTCTAAAGAACCTCAGCACCCTCAGAGAGTATGTAAAACCTAAATAACTAACTTTTTACTACCAGGTGGCTTGGTCACAAAATAAACTCAACCATGGCAGCCAAAGGAAGGAGGGGGAAACTTAACCCCTTAAAACTCCTGTTATTACAACAGCAAATGGCCAGAAAGCCCTTAAGTCTTCCTTGACTCTGAAGACACACCCCTCTCCCTGGTACCCACACCTGCCCAGCCTCCTCTCTCTCAATCAGATCAGATTCCCTGACACCTCCCCCACCACTTCACCTTCTGACTCAACCTCTACTCTCTCTCCTCCTCCCCTGTTCTCTTCTCCTCTGCCCAAGTACTAGTAGGTCCTCCATTTCACGCTGCTCTCCTGCCAACTTGTACCCACAGTCTCATTTTCCTCCAAGTTTCCCACTTCTGGACTAAGCACAATCTGGGAACAGCCAATGGCATCCCCACCCCCCGCCACAGCATGTGCCCCTCCCTGTGCTATCCAGCTGAGGACAGGATGACAACAGGACACACGGGCCCCTTTCTATCCTGCCTTTTTGGGTGGAGCCTGCTCACCCCCTCTCCCCCACCCAGACACCTCAGCAGGTGGTCTCCTACTGCAACCAAAAGAAAGAGATTCTTTTTTC